TACACGGCGGAGCGGGTTTAAATGCCCTTCAAATGTACTTACAGTTCACTGAGGAAGTGCAGGTCGTGGAAAGCGTTGGGCTGAATCTCACTGATGTTGTTCATGCTGAGATCCCTAAAACCAGAAGAAAAGAGAGAGAAACAGAGAGGTCAGCGGCAATGACAATCATATCAGTGTCAGACATTTTCCTTCAGAAATCAAGAAACGTACATTAAGAAACATTCTCAATGTTGAAAACAGTTGGGCTGCTTCATGTTTTTTTGGAATTTTAAATGTTTTCTTTTTTCTTCAGGATACTTTGGTTAATAGAAAGTTCAAACGAACAGCATTTATTTGAAATAAAAATACCTTTACTGTGACTTTTGATCTATTTAATTCATCTTTGCTTAGTTTTAGCATTATTTTAGTATAAGTTGAATGATTCATTTGTTTAAAAATTGTACTAATCCCCAACTTTTGAATGGGAATGTAAGTCATATTATAAATATATGTACATTTCTTAAAAATAAAAATACATTGCATAAAAACCAAAATGTCTTCATAATCAAACATGAAATGTATTACTATAATCATGAACTGCACAGATCCAAATTAGACCAAATAAAGGAAAATAAATAATTATGTGTATGTGTAATTATGTGTTATGTGAATGATCCCATTTAAAAGTTCATAAAATTTTGGTTATACAGTTTGCATTTTATTACTTATTTAGCATTTAGACCAGAACTGTGACTCATTTTGGAACAGTTGAAAACCACTGATTTGTTTAAGTAAGGTCTGCATGTTGCAGAGAAATATAGTGATATTTAGTTTATGAGTTTATGCTTGATTAGTTTATGAGTTCATTAATTTACCATCATGGCTCCATGGTCACATATTTGACCTTTCCTGTAATCGCTGGAGCTTTAGACACACGCTCATGATCATTGATCAACAGTACGATATTCATTAAGCTTTAAATGCAATCAAGATGAAACGCTGAACAATATTGATTATACTAGAGTAATTATGAGTAATCCAACACAGTAGATCTCACGTTTCAAATGAAAATGAATCGGTTGGCTAGCTTCAAAAACACAGCAACAATACGACCCTTGATTACGACATGTGAAATCTGGCCTTGTGCTTTTTATTATTATTATTATCATGGATGCCTCTCAATTTCCAGTTCAATTAATTAATGGAGTGCAGAGTTTGTATGTGATTATTACTTCAGCTGTGCCAGTATCATCTAATCAATAGTGTTGATTATAAACCCTGCCTGATCTAGACAGCACCTCCAGTCAGAGACCTGGACAATCTCTGAAAAATGAGAGGCTCTGGCTTTGACAGTTTCTTCCGAAGGCAGCCAAGAACCCTCTGAATGAAACATGTGGACTCTCATATCAAAGAAAACCCACACCTGCACATTTTACCATCCATCAGAGAGGAAGAGTGTAGAGGAGAGGGAAACAAAAAACAATAAAAGAGGAAAAACTTTCCACTCTGAATTATTGTTCAACAGATGTAATTTCCTCTCAGGTTCCAGATGTTTCTGCCTTCAGTCTATTCAAAACATCTTGATCATCTATTATTTTTCACTTCTAAATTTGACCATCAAGAGACATTTCAGGCTCAGGTATATCTCTTTATTTTCATTCTCATATTTTATCCATCGGCCCTAGTGTGTTCTGAAGTCTTAAATGACCTTTGACCTGTGATGGTTGTCAAAGTTTAACTGATTAGCATAGTCTAATTAGCTTTGACCCTGCTGATATTGCAGATATTGTGCAATATCAGCTGTGTTATTTGAGTATCATTTATATACTATTATAGTATTATGAATTAGCTTTTGTTATCAGTTTTAATTTTTTTTAGTAACACTTTATAATAAGGTTCTTTTTGTTAACATTTACTTTATTTGTTAACATGAACTAACAATGAAAAAGAGTAATCTCAGTTAATGTAATTTAAAAAATGTTTAAATCAAAAGATGTATCTATTAGTTAATCGACCTATAAGCTAACATGAACAAACAATAAACGTTTGTCATTTTTATTAACTAACATGAATAAATACTGTAACAAATAAATTGCTCATTGTTAGTAAATGTTAGTTAATGCATTAAATCTTCCCGTAAAACGTATTTTCTTTGAGTTTTAACATCTAACATCTTGGTTTCTGTGTTTGTTTGAATCTTTATTTGTTTGTTTGTTGGTTGTTGATCAGCACTTGCTGTATGTGCTTTCTAAATTACATAAACATAGTTGTGTTTTTGTTTAGTTTTAATTCATTTCTATTTCAGTTTTAGTCATTTTAGTACTTCATCTTAACATTTTTCAGTTAGTTGACAAGACAGCAGTTTAAAATTGTAATTTTTCATCTAATATTTATGTTCAATTATTTCAGCTTTATTTTAATAACCAAAAACATTTGTTGAATAGTTTTAGTTTTAGGCAAAAATCCATCAATGTCCGTTTAAAAGTAGCTGTGTAATCTTAACGGACCATGTATTCTAGTATATATTTTACAGTTCTTATTTGTTTTTCTCCCATCTGCTTCCTTTGACATCCTATTTTAGCTTGTCACTCAGTACATTATCTACCCCTAAATTTTGCATATTAATACATTAATTTTATGTCTGACAAACTAGAATAAATTCACATGCACTTTAGACATAACCAAGCAAATATTCAGTAACTACAGTGCTTATTTCTCATTAGAAACTATTCACAAGTTGAAGAAAACTACACAATTAAAACCATTCACTTCTTTTAGCAGCTCCGTCAGGTGCCATTATTATTCTTTCCACCAACCGCACACACAAGATTGAGGGATACCATAGACAGCTACGTTTGCGAAGGCAGCGTTTTTCAGCTTTCAGATCCAGCCTGATGGATCTCAGTGGTGTTACTCAACCTACAGGTGTAATAAATTATTCAAACCGAGGGCTGTGTCACTCCAGAAGTGTAACAGTGCTGCAGTGTTGGTCTAGAGCTAAGATGAATCGGGAATGGGCTAAAGTGGTTTTACTGCAAAGTCCTTGAACATCTGAACTTGAACATTTTTAGCAAATGTTAACTTTGAACATTTCGAGTCGACATTGATGCAACCAAACTGCAACATTACTTCATTTGTTGTCCCTGGAGGTCTGGAACAGCCAGGAGGGCAGCTTCTCATAACCGTAGACCACCAGGCTTGAGAAGATAAACTGAAAAGTCTGAAAATATTCATCACAGAGACTTTGATACTTGGCTATGTATTTGTTTTGTCAGCGTGTCAGCCATGACAAGGTGAAAAGCTAATTTGCTGTAGATGGGGCCTGGAAAACTTCACTCAGAAAAAGAAACGGATTGAGTTGACCTGACCACCGCTGTTTTCCACTGACATGGTGGCATGGAATGCAGTCAACACAAACCTGTTAAACTGGAGGGAATATTTGGGTTTTGAACTACTCCCAATATCACACACATGAACTGGTATTTATGGCTTAATGAGCGTTTACCATCGAGGTGTTGACGGCTAGCCTACAGCAGCTACACAGGGCTAACAGAATATTGAATCTTTATCATAAAAAAAGATTTATAGCTGTGTGAAACTATAATAAATATCAAGAAAGGCCCTTTCACATCAATAACTATAACTATAAAGATAATAATAAAGATAAGTAAAAATCATTAAAAATTTTAAAGACTAGCAGAGTCCACACTAAAAATATAACGATGGCACAGAGAAACAAAATCATTGCAATCACTTTCACAATGATTTTTTAAGGGTGGTGTATGATAAAAAACACCAACAGTCAATTAGTGCAGGGCAATATATAAAGTATTAACAATATTATCGTGATGATTGAATAATCAATATAAAATTACAGAATATTACTATCAAACATTGTTGAAAATTGATTAATGAATAAATTTACTCCTTTATATCTGACGAGTAGCACACAAAGTAATTGTAAATGAGTTACTGACGAGTTGCACACAAAGTAACTTTAAACGAGTTACTGACGAGCAGCACACAAAGTAGCTGTAAACGAGTTACTGATGAGTAGCACACAAAGTAACTGTAAACGAGTTACTGATGAGTAGCACACAAAGTAACTGTAAACGAGTTACTGATGAGTAGCACACAAAGTAAGAAATGTGAAAAAGCAAAAATACCGTTACATACGTATATCAATTATCATCAAAATTTTGAAAGATATATTGAGATTTTATTCACATTTTAGGTATATCGCCCAGCCCTGCAGCCAGTTAGAATCCATCCTGCTTTAAAGAGCTCAAGCGAATCTGAAGAAAATGCTTGTTATTTTTCTTGGTGTGAATGGCATATTGGTGTGAATATTTAGTGCCAAAAATCTCCATCAGTCCACGGTTTTCTAGTTAGTTAGAAGCTAGCTAGTTTAGCAATGTGTAAACGTCTCTTCACACCAACTCCGGATGTTCAGTGTGAAAATTCAGTGCGCTAAGCATTTTAATTTGAATGAACAGTTGTCATTGCACTTGTTCATACCGATATGAACATTTCTGTGCCATCAGTTGGTCACATGAATTCGAACTGAGAAGAGACAATGGGCTTTTATTTGCTGACGAGATTTCACTGTAATTTCACTAATGTGACCTTAAAGCCCAAAGTGTACATCAGTTTTTTTATGCATACTGTACGCTAGCGTATGCATACAGATGAACACACAGCCTTTCAAAGTATACTCTATTTGATAGCGTGCTCAAATGCAGGCGGTCGACACATGCGCTCTCGAAAGCGTCATCTTTGTCCAGCATCTGCTCTATTTTTCTCCAGAAGTTATGACCGATAAAAATGTCTTTGTACTCTTTTAAATTAAATTTGCTACAATCTCATAACCCCCTCACACAAGCACTTGTCCAAGCGACCGTCTGTTGTTGTTGCAGTCTCCGCCTTTTTGTTGTTGTTGTTCCGTCTCTTTAGTTTTGTTTTCTACTGTGAAACAGTGGCCCGGGCCAGTGTTGCCATCTTGTGGAAGAACCGATTAGTGGAAAACCAAGTCAATGCGCATGTGCAACCTGTGCATCCAAAATATGTGCGGTTACAAAAATCAGATGGTGCGCATACTATTCTGGTGATGATATTTGCACTCGCACTGTGCGTGGACTCTCACATAACGTGTAAAAACCGAAGTATGCTTTGGCGAGCTGCCTTAACCTTCAGATGCAGTCTCTTGTCTCTGCACTCTTGTAATTGGTGTTAAGAAACAAAGTTGTGCTGAGCTTTTTGTGTGAGTATTTCTACTTCTCTAAAAGCGCCACCTACTGTCAGAGAGTGGATGTGGATATTTATTCAGTCCGTCTGACGTTTCTTACACATTAGTCTGACTGGAAAAATCACCTAGCGATGGTTTTTATTAGAGACTGCTCTGTAGATGAGCTTAAATAGTCATCGGCAAGCTTACTTGCATCACAAACTGTATCGCCATCTGCAGGTGGGGTGTCTTAAAAAGATAAGACTGGAATCAGAATGACTTAAGAAACTGATCATTTGTTTTGGTTGTTTATTATTTTATTTTAGGTAATTCTTCATTGACTCTTTAGTTAATTTTGTTATTTTAGTATACAAAGTCAGTATCTTATGTCTTCAGTTTCACTGTATGATAATAACCCTGTTGTTGACAGCATCTTTCAATATAAACCCACTCCCTCATGTGGTAATCCTTAGTTCTTTCCACACTCATCTAACACATGCTGCTTTTTTATTGAAATAATTACAATTAATGAAAACGACTTTTGTTTTCCAGCCAAATGGGCAATGTTGATTTAAGTCATTAAGAAGTGTAACCAATCTCCTGCTGCCTTTACGGAGAAACTCATATTCTTCACACTGCACATGCAGCTTCATATTTCAACCACTGCAATCAAGAAGATATTGATTTTCTTTATTGTTTTTTTTAATTTTTTTAATTAAAGAAAGGCAGATGTGACTGGTTCACAAGAGGTCATACACACAATGTTTTGAAACTAAAGGAAATATCTGGCAACCATGTTTAGGCATTGAACATATGGTTCCTGATGATTAGTTCAATTATTGCTAAGTGTGTTCAGGCAATGCAGCACGTCTGTTCATAACAGTCCCGTCCCCCCTTCAGTACACCCTGCGGGAGATGGTATATATCGAGGCTGTGTCGCAATCTCACCCCCCCAGAGTTTGCACATGTAGGGGTTTTGATGCACGGCCATCGGAAAGATGATACTCGTAAACGTCAACACATGCAATGAAGACTTTACTAGTTTCAAACAGCTGCTGCCTCTCTCTGTTGGCTCTCCCCGTTCATCATACATTTACATGTTATTCTGGGCTTTGTCTCCAACTTCATTCTACAGCTGCGGTGGCATTTTCAATTGAAACATTTGTAAAATTTAACTCATACGGGGAGGAAATGCATTTATCTATGACTACATAGCAAAAAATAAATAAATGTATGTTTTACAAGAAAATAAAATACAATTTCAGTCCTTCAAAATGTCACATTTAATTCAATGTGTTGTCTTTTCTTTGTAATTATTTGTGGAATTAAATCCATTTTTTCAGTGTATAGAAATAGTGTACATTGCAGTTTGAGTTTTTGCCATCTAAAAGCGACTGACAGCATCTGCCACTGCAACTGTAGAATGACTCCTTTATATATAGTGGATGATTAAGTGAAATAGGACCACCTGTGTCCCCCTGCCATGTTTTCATGACTTTAACGCTCTGGACAGAGGTGAAGTGTAGGTTACGAAAGCATTTTTAGCCCTCTAAGGACGTATGACATAAGCCCGGCTAGAGAGAAAGACAGCATGTGTTGACTCTACCAGCATAGTCTGGCATTTACCCTGTAAATGTTTCAGATGTTTATCATTTACAAAGAAATGATAGTCAGGAATATGTACTGTACCAGCAGACATAGCATATTTGTATAAAACAGTAATCGTTCCATGTAACAGAATACGCATTGATAACAAAAGTTTTTCTGCTAATGCCTTTACATATCGTGTCAATGACACATAGCAATGTCGAGATGATGAAAAATCGGTCTCTTTCTTACACCTTGAATAATAAAGATGTTTATCATTTACAGAGAAATTATAGTTTGTACTAGCCGACATGTTTTTGTATGCTTTCAGGAAATGCAAAATTGAAAACAATGAGTATAAGGAGTGTATATTTTTGGTTGTACAGTAATACTTGATATAATGGAACTTAAAGGGGTCATATGATGTTGCTAAAAAGAACATTATTTGGTGTAATGAAATGTGTTTATGCGGTTTAAGGTTCAAAAAACACA